TGATATCATTCTTATCACCTCGAAACATGCTTGGCGGAGTATTGCTGTAAAGTATAATGACTGTGCCTTTGTTAGTGAAAGCAATAGCTAATTTGCACACAGCAATGTTCCACAAACAGCCATGAAGTGAACAATAAATTTATCTAAGTAATAACAGTCTTCGCATTTGATACAGCGCTTTTCACGTCAGGAGGATGTGCCAAAGGCTCTTAACAGGATTCACTGTAAATTGTGATGACTGCCTTCAATCTGAAGGATTTGTAGCCAGAATCCAAGGACACTGAGAGAAACTCTTTTGCTTTTCAAATCACTAACGCCCACCCGAATAAGCAAATGAGACTTCAATTTAACATCTCATCGGAACAACTCTGTGTTCCCCCAGAACTGCACTGAAGTATTAGCCTAAACTATGAGCTTAGATTCCTGACATGGGGCTTGAATCCACAGCTCTTCTGATACAGGAACAAGAGGGCCAGGTTAATAAGGTTAATATGCAGGGAAATACATGAATATAGACAAGTGTTCACATATGATTTCGCCCACAAGTACACAATATAAAACGCTTTGAGACGTCTCACTGACATGATAACACTACACTTAACATATCCAGGGGAGAACTTTTGACCTGATTTTTGACTTCATTTATGTTTTGGGAGATATATTTGAGGAGTTCTGTAGCTCAGTGGTTAGAGCACTCGCCTCACAAGCAAGAAACCTGGGTTTGATTCCTGGCAGGTCGAAACATTGGGCATGTTTCCTTACTCCTCTGTTTACCCATCAGTAAGTAGGAACCCAGTTGTTAGTCTATTGGCGGATTGCTTCTCCGGGGGTAATAATTAGTTTAGAAAAAAAAGAATAAATTGGTCACTCAATCCATGACTATTTGTGGGGCACTGCTGTGTGCAATTGGCTGCCCACAAAATATACAGTCAATTCACTTTACAGTATATTCTGTGAAGCGCTTTGCGATGTCTCGAAGACGTGATAAGGAGCTATATCAAATGCAAGGATTATTATTATTATTACTGTATATATTTGAGATTAAGGATTCCTTTCTTGGAGATGGAATTTTTTTTGACTATTGATACCAAGATAGAGAAGTAGGACAAATTCCGTCCTCCCTCAATCCTGGCCTGGTTACGTGGCTGATAACTCAAACAAGCACCATCCTACTGTACCAGTGCTAGCTTTTGTAGCTCCCACACCAGCTCTCTGATCTCCCAGAGAGAGTTTGCCAATTTGCACTGTGTTTGGAGTAGGGCTGTTTGTTTTTCAAGCCGTGTAAATGTGTGTCCACAGAATACCTGAAGTTTAATAATAGGGTGGTGGAAGATAACATAACCATCTCATGAGACAGCACTCATTGCAGTGTCAATCACAGAAACTAAATGCACTCTGTGATAACCATGCAACATTAGGTATGGATAGGGTTGTGTCATGGCCCAGACCCATTTAGTACTGACACCACGCAAACCTTGTTTCTATGTAGGATAACATCTCCTGTAGCTCAGTGGCTAGAGCACTCGCTTTGCAAACGAGACACCTGGGTTCAATTCCAGGCAGGGCGAAAGCTTGGGCAAGTTTCCTTACTTTACACGCCTAATAATAATCACTCCAAAACAAAACAATAATAAATTGGTCATTTTCAATCCACGATTGTTTGTGGGACACCTCTGTGTGCAATTGGCTGCCGCGTTTCGCCCACAAATATACGGTCAATTCACTTTACAGCATATTCTGTGAAGCGCTTTGAGACCTCTAGAAGACATGAAAAGCGCTATATCAAATGCAAGGATTATTATTATAACAGTACAATTCAGGAATAGGAGAAGGTCATTCAACCCACAGAGCCATAATCCACCACAGACCGGACCATTCCATGTCACTGCACACTAGCACCCATCCTAATCCCAATTCCCTTTTTCTCGCTTTGAGATTCTTACTTCCCAAGTGTCTGTCCATCTCTTCCTTGAATCCCTCAATCGATATCTCACTCACTCATATACTTTCTGAGGTTTTCAAAATCGTATCAGAAAATTTTTGTCCTTTCCTCAGTCCTAACCAAGGGTCATTCATATCCTCTAGTAATTTATTGGTCGGGGGCGAGGAGTGGTGGGGTAGTTGCTCAATTATTTACTGTATTAAAATGATCTGGAGAATACCCCATTTCCAATTTGAGAATTTTTTAAAATTCTGCACAATTTTAGCCTTGCCTTAAGAGTGGACCAGGTGGAATTTCAGGCCACTGGAGTTAAAGTGCAACAGATGGTTCTACGTTCTGCTTGTCGGTGATTACAGTGGGTTTTATCACTCCCACCTTGAAAAAACCCTCCCTTGATGCGTCGCAGCTATCAAGCTACCGGCCCATCTCCAACCTCCCCTTTCTGTCCAAGGTCCTTGAACGAGTTGTCGCCTCCCAGCTGCGCTCTTTCCTCTCCACCCATTCATTATTCGAACCCCTTCAGTCAGGTTTCCGTGCTGCCCATAGCACAGAAACTGCCCTGGTCAAGGTCACCAATGACATCCTGACCATCTGTGACCAGGGCTCCCTCTGCCTCCTCGTCCTCCTCGACCTATCGGCAGCATTCGATACGGTCGACCATGCTATCCTCCTCCACTGCTTGTCCTCCCACCTCAACCTTCAAGGCCCTGTCCTTGAATGGTTTAGGTCGTAGCTCTCACACCGTCTTCACTTCATTTCCACGAATAGCTTTTCCTCCAGCCCCCGCACTGTCTCGTGCGTTGTCCCTCAGGGCTCTGTCCTTGGTCCCCTCCTCTTCACCCTCTATATGCTCCCCCTTGGTGACATCATCCGCAGACATGGGGTTAACTTCCACATGTATGCGGATGACACCCAACTCTACCTTTCCTCCTCTACCCTCAACTCCACGACCACCGATGTCCTGACAGCTGCCTGTCCGACATCAAGTCCTGGATGAGAGACAACTTTCTTCAGCTCAACGTGCGTAAAACTGAGGCCCTTCTGATTGGCTCACGTCAGCGCCTCCGCACCTCAGGCGCTGACAGCATCAGCATCCAAGGCTGCACTCTCCACCTCTCAAAGCCGGTCAGGAACCTCAGGGTTCTGTTCGACCCTGAGCTGTCCTTTCTCCCTCACATCCGCACCACAACTGGCACCGCCTTCCATCACCTCCGGAACATCGCCAGACTACGGCACTACCTCACCCCTCACGCTGCTGAAACTCTGGTCCACGCCTTTATCACCTCAAGGCTGGACTATGGGAACTCTCTCCTCACCGGCCTTCCCAGCACCTCCCTCCACAAGCTGCAGGTCATTCAGAACTCTGCAGCTCGTGTACTGTCCCGCACCAGGCTTCGGGACCACATCACTCCCACCCTCGCTCGCCTCCACTGGCTCCCCATCCCCCAGAGGATCGAATTCAAGATCCTCATCCTCACCTACAAGGCCATTCACGGCCTTGCTCCCTCCTACCTCTCCGACCTACTATCCCCCTATCTACCTGCCCGTACCCTCCATTCCTCTGGCTCCGGTCTGCTCCACATCCCGGCCCCAACCACCCTACCATCGGTGGCCAGTCCTTCAGCCTCTCAGCCCCTAGGCTCTGGAACTCCATCCCCCAGTGCCTTCGCCTTGCCTCCTCCCTTTCCTCCTTCAAGGCCGGTCTCAAGACCTTTCTCTTTGACCGTGCCTTCAGCTCCCCTCTCGACTCTCTACGCCCTCCTCGCTCCCTCCCTTCCCTCCCCTCACCCTGACCATTTCCCCCCAATGCTCGGGTCCCGACCCAACTGTCCAGTGCCTTGGGACATCCTCCCAACGTGAAAGATGCTCTATAAATGGAATCTTGTTGTTGTTGTTGTTGGTTATGCACGGGCTGTGATTTAGTGTTTACTAAATGGAGGATACCAATCATCTATCATTCTTCATTTTCATCATATTGGCAGGCTGTCAGATTTGAACACCTTGTATCCCTTTAACGGTATTTTAAGTGAAATGTCAACTCACTTTTGGGCATATGTCTGGATCTGACCAGGGTCAGCTCTCGACCTTTCAGGCTCATCTGTTCTTTTCTGGTTTAACTAACCTGTCTGACAGGCTATCACCCATGTAATTGCTTTCAGTAAAATAAACGTAACAATATATGATATTATGCTAGTAAGGATTGGTGTAGGAAAAGTAAGGAGTTTCCTTCAGGTGTTCTGGGTCATATTCGTTCTTCCTCATTCAAAATCATTCTAAATTTTTAAGCTCAATTTGCCTGCTTATCTCATTGTCATTTTTGGGACATTGCTGGAGTAAATCAACTGCAATGTCTGTCTGCCTGCCTTAATAACCATTCATCTCATTTCAAATTATTCTTATTCTGTGAAGTGCTTTCAATTGTTCTTTTATGTAAAAGGTGCTACATTTTACATAATATGTGCAAGCTGTTGTAAGTATCTTATTTATTATTGATAATAGTAATGCTTACATTTGATATAGCATCTTTCATGGCAGGAGGAAATCTCAGAGCACTTCATAGGACTTGCTGGAAAGGGTATGACTGCAGGTAAGTGGAGCAGTCAATTTGAACACAGCATTGTCCTACAAACAAAATGATCGATTTTGTCTGAGGGATTGTTGGCCAGGAAACTCCCTTCTCTTTTTGAATGATACTATGGGATCTTTAACATCCACCTGAACAAGCAGACAGGACCTTGGATTTATTGTCTCATTCGAAGAACGGCACCTCCGACAATTCAGTGCTCCCCCAGCCTAGACTGTGAGCCCAAAGTCCCGATGGTGGAGACTTGAACCTGCAACCTTCTGATTCAGAGGCAGGAATGCTATCCATTGAGTCAGGCTGACACCTATCAATAAAACAGGCAATTTATTTCTTAACCAACAATGACCTTTCAGGCTCATCTGTTCTTTTCTGGTTTAACTAACCTGTCTGACAGGCTATCACCTTGCATGATATATTATTTTGAAAGTTAAGCAAGAACATCTGTTAAAGATTTAGAGTTTTCTCTCTTTCCAGGGCTGGACAGTTCAGCTTGTGGTTGCCGCACTGGTCAGTGCATTTGGTTCTTCATTTCTGTACGGCTACAACATATCCGTAGTGAATGCACCAACTGTGGTAAGTTACTGAGGGTACAGGGAGGAAACATTGCATTGTATATTTTTATACCTCAGATGCATGTAAATGCAGTGTTACTGTCTGACCATAATGTGCTTCTAAATTGCAGGCCAATAATTTGTACGGTTAATGATGGAATTTGATGACTAAAATAGCACATCCATGTGAAGCTGCACCCAAATTGAAGAAGATTACCGACTTTGCTCCCTGTACGCAGCATGTTGGCCATGAAGTGACATATCAGCATTAAGTAGATTCTTAACCATGCATAAACAAAGCTTGCATTCTCTCAGCATCAAACAGTAGTCTATTTAGCTTCGAGGGTATGGTCTAAAGTGCTCTGATCCTAAAGAGTATAAAGCTGTTTCACAAATTCTTTCCAAATTCACAGTAACACAGGGAGATTTTGTTACTGTGAATTAAATTGAAATGTGTTTCCCAGGAAAGTTAGGTGTGTGGGAGGGGGAAGGGGTTGGTGAGACTCCTGAATGAGTCAGGCTGGTCAAAACTCGCTTTATACCGCACGTTTCGCAGCAAACTGCCAAAAATATTGCATCCCATCCTCGAATAGAAAAGAACAGTTCCTGTTCGCTTCGGTCATTGTATCCTGGATCAATTAATTGACTTTCTGGTCCTTCACAAATAAGAAAAATTATAGGAAAAGCAAATTGCCTGTGAAATGATGAGCCATTACCTGTCTGCCTGTCCTATTTTGTGTGTGTGGGTGGAATAACTAGGGAAACGTGTGTGCAGAGCGCATCAGTGCTAGTCAAGGGGCGCAGAGGTGTCAACTGACTTATGGATCACAGGCTAAGCTCACTTGTAAAGTACAGATCTTGTTCTGTTTTTGAGTAACTAACAGGTGAATCTTTATTTGCTACTGTGGGGTGATGTGAAACAACAAGCAAGCAAAGCTCTGTTTGTTAACGTGAAGTGAAAACAAAGCTTGTGATTCTGCAGGATAAGTATCTATAATTGTTTGTTTGTAACCTTTCGTACTTCTGTACACACCTCAAACGAAGCACACTGAATATGGAACAGGCTGGCATTTACGATAAAGACATCATTATGGCTTAACCACATGCCAGAAAACTTGGCCCATCTGTTATATTTTAACATTTCAGAAGAGTTTTCACAACTGAGAAAAATATTAAATATGACATTTTACTGACACTTAATTAAAATACTGCCTGCATCCCATGAGGAGACAATGCTAACCAATATTATTCAGATCAGCACCTTCTTATTTACTGTGGCTGGGATCTAAATATAGGAAATTGTCTGCAAAATTAATGCATTGTTCAAGGTTGAAACAAAACCAAATGAAAGAAGAACGCATCCGTTTGGAATGAATAAATCCAATGCTTTTAATTTTGCAATGAATTTTTCATGATGGCATGGCACAGAAAAACATTGCATTTAAAGTATGAAAATATGAGTGTATGTATTGTAATATATATATATACTGTATGTCTATAGAATGAGAGAGTGATATGAAGATGCAAAATCCATTTTACAATATATTCTGTGAAGCACTTTGAAACGTCTCAACGACGTGATAAGGCACTATATCAAATGCAAGGATTATTATTATTATTAATATGTCAAGCAGATTTTTTCCTCATCAATTTTCTATGCTCCTTTCCTTAAAAGTATTTGCACTAACGTAAAATTACTAAAGAAAGAACGTGCCTTTTATAGGTCCATATATATACATATATATACATAACTGCTGTCAAGTGTAGTGTCCGTTGTTTTGGGAGATGATTGCAGCAAAAAAGAGAACCAAAACAAAGAAATTCTTATAAAACTTTTGAAACACAGTGTACAGTATTTCATAAGGATCTTCATGCAAGCCCTCACCTCAGTCTTTGCCCAACTTGTCACTTCCTTTATACCACAATATCCAACACCTCCCTGGTTGTCGGTGCTTCAAAGTCGATTTTAATGATCAGCATTAGCTTCATGTAATATCTAAACTCTAAAGCACTATGTGGCCTTAGTTATGTTCTACGTGAAGATTGCCTGCATCTGAAGACAGCACTGCTAAAATGGATTTCTCAGTGGTTTAACCGTACCTATTAGAATGATCAAATTAAAGCATAAAGGCCAATGAGTACCATAGCTCCCTTCAGGTTATTTCAAGGTAATTGTGTAAGGCAGTCTATGTCACATAAATGCACAGTCAACAATCATGCTTGGTGTTCTATTCCAGAGGGGATACCGAATGCACAGACAATGTAGCTCGTCTTGGGATTCAAAAGTCCTGTACAAGAATTCACTGAGCTGCAGTATTTGCGTTGACCCCAAGTACATCAATATTTCAGTATAATGCAGAATGAAGGCTGTAAACTAGTACATCGAGAACATAAAGTTTACCTTTCCTCTCCTCCGAAATGACAGCTGTACACATATAAGGGTGAAGTTAGGGCATTTTCAAACCCTGTTTGGTGTGATAATTTATGAAACACTGCTAATTTAATCCCGTGTCTTTTTGAAGTTATATATTTTTCATTTGTTCCTGCTAGTTGTTTCCTGTCACCCCCTTGGCATAAAAAGAACATTTGAAAGGGCTTGCTGCTTCATATCTCTCCCCATTTGATCCGTTCCACCAATAGTGGTCACATTTTCAGTCATTCTGCCCCCGCTCTCTGGAACACCATCCCTGGGTTCCACTGCCTCACTCTGCTCCCTATCCACATTCAAAATCCTCCCTAGACTCATCTCTGTGATTACATTTCGGCCACTTTCACCTGCCTCTAAACTCAGGCTCCCGGTTCAGCTGTCTCCCAGCACTATATAAATGTAAACTGCTGCTGTTATAACCAGTGCTTGGAGGTGCATAGTTTTGGCACAGAGTGTCTATCTTGCTCTCTGATTTTCCACTCGCAGTGTAGGTGCACTGATTGTTCACTGCATGAGATGTCCTTCAGTGAATCAGTTAATGAGGACATGATGCTGCATTCGTGGTGCAGTTCAATGACGGTCAGTTTGGACACAGATGGATTCAGAATCCAGTATACTGGGCTTGGTGTGATGCACATTGGGTTGCAGCAGGGGTCACTGTTTGTAACTTGATCTTATCAACATTGTGTTTCAGTCTCTGTTATTAAAAATAACAGCAACAACCTGCATTTATGTAGCGCTGGGTAGCATCTGGGAGTGCTGAAAATAGTTTAATTCCCTAGTAACAATAAAAATAATCCATTAATTTGATACCGGGTCTTATCATGTCTTCTAGATGTCTCAAAGTGCTTCACAGGATACACCATAAAGTGGAGTGGCTGTCTGTTTGGTGGGTGAAATTAATAATTACATTGAAAGCAATAGCTCTCTCTTTAAGGGGTGCACAACATTTCACAAAAAATATATATTTTTTTGCATATTGACCATTTCCTGGAATCCAAGATCAAATCCTTCAGCAGTTGTCTGGTTGCTGGAAATGCTGTAAACATCGAGCTCTTTACCTCTCAGTATATCCTTGTTTTATTTTTAGCAATTGAATTATTTATAACTACAGTAGTGCTTAACATGCCACTTCTCCCATCTAGTTATTTTCATTCTGTCCCACTGGAATGCCTTTCAGTACTAGGGTAAGTTCAGTGAGTTCATCCAGGGATCTGATCCAAAACAGGTTTAACTCTGAGTGTTGGCCACCTTTTTGTTTGAGCCAGAGTACACTTCACCCACAAAATATACAGTCAATTCACTTTGCAGTATGTCTCAAAGATGTGATAAGGCGCTATTTCGCCCACAAATATACAGTCAATTCACTTTACAATATATTCTGTGAAGTCCTTTGAGACGTCTAGAAGACGTGAAAAGCCCTATATCAAATGCAAGGATTATTATTATTATTAATTACTCAGCTCTGGACCCTTCCAGTGAACAGGTAATCTCACCCCACTGTACGGTGATTTCACTCCGCTGCATGGGATGGTCTTGCGATGCTGCACAAGTGGTCGCCACTCCACTGCATGGGTGGTTTTAATCTGTTGCATGGGTGATTGCGCTCCGCTGCATGTGCTGCTTTGCTCCACCACCCAGGTGGTCTCACTCCATTACACAAATGCGTCTCAGTTAGTTCAGTTAACCAGGAAGACTAACAGGGGAGACTCATGAAAATCAACAACGCAGGTCGGCCTTTCTCCTCCTGCCCCCTCTCACCCCCTCCCAGCCTTGGATTAAGATGCTACTGTCAGAAAGATGGGGCTTAGAATCCACTTTCCTGGCAAAATGGTTTGTTGTTCCTGACTGTGCACAGGAACACATTCAAGGACATGGTCCACTGGGCACTCAGGCAAGGCTTATGTAGGATTGGCATTGCTGAATAGTATCCCGTTAGAGAGAGAGAGAAAGAGATGACTGTCAGCGAGGGAGCAGTTACTTAATAACATCCTTCACTTTTTAGATATTATTGCCCCCATGAGTATATTTTGAGATCTTGGCAGGAAGGATAAACGTCACGGATTTTGGAATTATTAAAAGAGTTTAAAGAAACTTGAATTACACAGCTGCTTTGTGTATATACTGTATAATACATTCAGATTTTGATGGGTATAACAGTGATAGTCTGGAGAATTAAAAATCAGAAGCCAAATGATTGCCATTGTTTGAAGACTTTAGAGGCAATTTTGTTTAGTTAAAAACAGTATATTCTATGTTCTAATTCAAGACTGACATTTTTAATATTGGAATTGCTAAAAGGTCAAACCGCAGACGGCTCAGATGAAAAGTGCCCATATATTTTAGAGTAACCCAGTGGTACTGTTCTGTTGTCAAACAGCTGATTGAGGCCACAAGAGGCATAAGCTCCAGCTTTCCACTTCCAGGTCTTTCCAGTTTTATTTGTGCCTCTGGTCTATTCATGCTTCTGTGATAATAATAATAATCTAATAATCCTTGATTTTGATATGGCACTTCTCAAATTGGCAAGCAGTCTCAGAGAATTTCAAAGGATTTATTATGAAGAGTAGTCACTGTATATGTTTTTAGCAGGC